TCCATGTTGTCACAACTAACATATTTCCTTTTTTTTTTTAAAGACATAATAGTTTGTCTCTCTCTCTCTCTCTCTCTCTCTCTCTCTCTCTCTCTGTGTGTGTGTGTGTGTGTGTGTGTGTGTGTGTGTGTGTGTTTTCTTTAACCATTCAACCATCAGTTACCACTTAGGTTGATTCTCTATCTTGGCTACTATGGATAGTGCTCCAATGAGCGCAGGAGTACAGACAACTCTCTGACATACTGATTTCAATTCCTTCAAATGTGTACTCAAAGTGGGATTGCTGGATCATATGGTAGTTCTATTTTTAAGTTTTTGAGGACCCTCTACACTACTTTCCATAATGAATGTACTTATTTAATTCCTGCCAACAATGCACAAGTGTTCTGAAGCTTTTTAATGTATTTTAAGTTAGGTTGAAAGCTGCCTGAAAAAAGTTCAGAGTGACTAAAATAGTTCATATCAAAGAAAAGTCTCAAGCCAGGTGTGGTGGTACACAATTGTAATCCCAGCAGCTCAGTAGGCTGAGACAGGAGGATCACAAGTTCAAAGCCTCAGCAAAAGTGAAGTGCTAAGCAACTCAGTGGGACCCTGTCTCTAAATAAAATACAAAATAAGGCTGAGGGTGTGGCTCAGTGGTCAAGTGCCCCTAAGTTCAATCCCTGGTATGCACCCCCCTCTGCCAAAAAAATGACTCAGTTTACTTTCATACTCATAAGTGAGAATAAACTAAGGAAAGAAGTGGATATACACTAAAAGAGAGAGAAAAAGAAAAAGTGTTTCAAGATTGCTATGAAGGGGCTGGGGTTGTGGCTCAGTGGCAGAGCGCTTGCCTAGCATGTGTGAGGCACTGGGTTCGATTCTCAGCACCACATAAAAATAAATAAATAAATAAAATAAAGTTTCATCAACATCTAAAACATTTTTTAAAAAAATATTGATATGAAGAATTCATAAAATCCTCCCTGGAATCACCCATACAATAAACTGGAGAAAGAAGATGAGCATTTCCAATGGGGTAAGGAGGGTCTCTTTTCCCTCTTGCTATACCCAAATCAAATTCCTTGAAGCTGGGGTAGTGTTTCCCCTGAGGGAGAAGGAAAAGACACCTGGTACTGGTGAGAGGAAGCCGTCCATCTTCCATCTGTCTGTTGATTATTTCCTGATGTCCTCTGTTAGGCAGATAAATCTGTTCTTCTCAGCTGAATGGTGAACTTTCGAAGACTTTCTCTTACATCTTTTATTCATTCTCTACCAGACTCCTCACTGCTTCCAGAGTGCATAAGGTAGGAACAGGCGAGGAAAGAGCATTCAATACAAATATATTTTTTAAAATTATTTCTTTAAAAAAAGTTGGGCAGTACTTACATGTTGGATGCCTGAATATTTTCAAATCTGTGTTTCATTAATTATCTAATAAAAGCATAAAGGCATACTCTTAATTACACAGAGATTTTAGTAATGCCAACAATCCTCAAAATATTTGCTAAATGTTTCTCAACAACCTCCTGTAATTCCTCAGAGCTATTAGTATGCCCTCCATCACTGCTCCCTGAGTACCCTGGGTAGACTGCTGTTGCAGGGGACGGACATGCAAGACACCAAGTAGAAACAGGAAACAGATTTTTTATTGCCTATAGCCAGGTTCAGAGGGCAAAGCTTTCGCTGTAATCAATCAATCCCCCTGAACCCCGTATTCAGGCAGTTTCAGAACTTTATATACAGCATGTAAGGGGAGGGGCTCAGAAGTTCAGTCTGCAGAAGTTCATATAAAACCAGTTTTTCCTTTCACTGTTCTGGGAAAGTTAACCCTTCAAGGACACTACCTGAGAAGGGGAAAGCTTCTTCTCCCCTTTCTCTCCTCCCCTTGCCAGCTGTTCCCATGGAGCCCAATTTGTAACTTCTCTTATCTTAGAAATGTATTCATCTCTGTGAAGCTCCAGCTCAAGACCAGAGGCCTTGTTAAAGGATCTGTCTTTTTTTTTTCTAATCACACTTTGCATTTGTAAACACACTTGTACAAACTACTGTACATGCTTATAAAAAAGTAGTAAGGGGATTGACTTATTTTGCTTAGTATGATATTCTCCAACTCCAACCATTTACTAATATGTGGATGCTAATTCACAATAAGGCACGGGGTGGGGGGGCACTAGGAAAGAATAGCGTTACCTTAGATTAGGTAGAGGGAAGTGATGGGAAGAGAGAGAGGGGATGTTGGGATGGAAAATATAGTAGATGAAATAGACATTATTACTATTTTTACTGTGTTATATGTGACTACATAACCAATATGATTCTGCAACATGTACACTCAGAAAAATGAGAAATTATATCCCTTCTATGTATATCAAAGTGCATAAATGCATTCTACTGTCATGTATAACTAATTAAAACAAATAATAATTTTTAAAAAAACTAATAGGGAGCACTGATCTCTTCCTGGCCAGGACCAAGTAAAATAGAGCAACAGGAAAATAGGAGCTATACTGAACTCTTTTGTAGAGATTCTATTGCTAACAGTTCTAAAATCAATTATGGTGAAGATTTCTGGAGAAGCTTAGTTAAAATTTTCTGTGGAGAAGGGGATGCCACTACACCACCATATGCACAGTTCCATGAAGACCAGTTCACATGTGTGCCTCCCCACAAAACATTTGAATTCCCTGAAGGAAAGGACTTGTATCTTATTTGCTTTAGTAGTTCCAGTGCCAAGTTCAGCATCTGACACAAAGTCATGGCAGAGTAAACACCTGTAACCAGTACATGTAGAATAACATCTGGGGACAACAGATCTTTGCTTATCTTTTTTGAAGTAAGGATTCA